GCATAGCTGACCCCGGGCTGCGTGGGATGCTTGCATTGCACAGCAGAGTGCCTGGGTTCGAGTCCTGGCCTCCGGTCCAGCTTCCTGGGAGGCAGCAGGTGATGGCCCAGGTGGCTGGGTCCTGCCCCCCACGGAGCTCCCAGTTGCTGGTTTTGGCCAGGCCCAGCCCCAGCTGTTGCAGGCGTTTGGAGAGCGGACCAGCGGACAGATAGATCTCTGTCCCTCTGCCTTTCAAATGATGATAAAAAAAGGAGTAACTTTCCTCTCTAGGAAACCAACCTGTCCTTCAGCCACTCGCCCAAGACCACCCAGCCCCAGGGGAAGCGCTTACACACCTACCTGCTCTCTTCTGCCTCAGGGTGTGCGAGCGCCTGCAGTCCCCGACCCGGTGCCCCGAGCATCAGTCTTCCAGTCTGTAAAATGGGCGCCCTGCCTACCTCCTGGTCTCTGGCGAGGGTCAGCGAGACGACAGATGTGGGGAAGGCTTTGTGGGAGGCAGAGCCCAGGGCAAAGGAGACCTTGCCAGGGCTCTGCTCAGATGACTCCTGGTGAGCCCTCAGCCCACTCCTCTGGACTCCTCGCCTGCCACTGCTCTCTCCCGGGGCCACTGGCCACGCCGGGTGCCTCAGACGTGGATTCCCCACATCTGTGCTGTCCCCATCCCGTGGACTCTGAGGTTTGGGATCCACGTGCCATCTTGGCCTTGTATGCCGTGGGTGCCACCTTGGCCTTGTATGCCGTGGGTGCCACCTTGGCGTTGTATGCCGTGGGTGCCACCTTGGCCTTTTGTAGGAACCTCCCACGTGTGTGTGTGGGGGGGGGGAGCTGGGGGGTGACTCTCCAGCCCGAGGGTCTTCAGTGGTGTAAAGAGGGCTTTCTAGGGCTGGCGCTGTGGGTTAACACCCTGGCCTGAAGCGCCGGCATCCCATATGGGCACTGGTTCGAGACCCGGCTGTTCCTCTTCCAGTCCAGCTCTCTGCTATGGCCTGGGAAAGCAGAGGAAGATGGCCCAAGTCCTTGGGCCCCTGCACCTGCGTGGGAGACCCGGAAGAAGCTCCTGGCTCCTGGCTTCGGACTGGTACAGCTCCAGCCTTTGCGGCCATCTGAGGAGTGAACCAGCAGATGGAAGACCTCTCTCTCTGTCTCTACCTCTCTCTACAACTCTGTCTTTCAAGTAAATAAAATAAATCTTTTAAAAAAAGAGAGTTTTCTTGGCTGGTGCCATGGCTCACTAGGCTGATCCTCCACCTGTGGCACCGGCACACCGGATTCTAGTCCCAGTCGGGGTGCTGGTTCTGTCCCGGTTTCTCCTCTTCCAGTCCAGCTCCCTGCTGTGGCCCAGGAAGGCAGTGGAGGACGGCCCAAGTGCTTGGGCCCTGCACCCCATGGGAGACCAGGAGGAAGCATCTGTGTCCTGGCTTCGGATCGGCGCAGCACTGGCTGTAGCGGCCATTTGGGGACTGAACCAACGGAAGGAAGACCTTTCTCGTTGTCTCACTGTGTAACTCTGCCTGTCAAAAAAAAAAAAAAAGTTTTCTAGACACCCTCTTGTGAATCCTCACCAGAACCCAGGGGGTGTGACGGCCTGGCCCTTCCTGGGGCGCCCTGGAATACACCAGCAGGTGCGCTCCCAGGGCAGCAAGGGGAAGGAGGGGCCACACCGTCAAGGTGATTGATCAGCGACAGGGGGCCCTGGGCTGGCCTACGTGAGACCCTCCCAGGCTGCCAGGGCATCGTGCCCACCAAGGGAGGGGCTGACCTGTGCTCCTCCGGAATCCTGTTTCTAACCGGCCCGAGCTCATTCCATGTAGGACCAGTTCCCTGGACTTGGGGGTTTCGTGACCCGAGCCCTGGCTGGTCCCAGGGAGCAAGGCTTCACTCAGGCACCAGAACGGGGAAACAGCTGGTCCTCCATGGGCCCACGGAGTGGACCTGGGTGCTGGGCTTGCAGCCGGGGCCAGGCTGAGCCAGCAATGGACGCAGCGAGTGACCAAGCCCGGGCAGGAGCCGAGGGGCCCTGGGGGGACCTGCCCTTGCACTGATGCACCCCCGTCTTACTTCTGAGGAAACAGAGGCCGGGAGATGCGGAGGGACTGTCCCCAGGCCCCCAGCCTGCTGAGCTCGGGACCTTTGGGTCCCCTCCAGCCCCACCCGTCCCCTCCACTTGGCCACAGCGCAGGAGAGGACCTGGGAGGCTGCGGTTACCTGCAGACACCACTCAGTTCCACGGCCGCGCCCGTTCCCAGCAGGCCAGCTTTCCCAAAGGGAACACACCCTCGGCACCCACTCTCACTCACGCGTTCCACAGCCTCGGCACCCACTCCTCACTCACGTGTTCCACAGCCCTCAGCTCCAGAACCCACACAGCGCCAGCTCCAGTGCCTGGCTCCGGCGTGGGCCAGGCTCGGCTCCGTGCCTGGCTCCGGCGTGGGCCAGGCTCGGCTCCGTGCGTGGCTCCGGCGTGGGCCAGGCTCAGCTCCGTGCGTGGCTCCGGCGTGGGCCAGGCTCGGCTCCGTGCGTGGCTCCGGCGTGGGCCAGGCTCGGCTCCAGTTGGGGAGGAAGCGGTTCCCTTCGTCTCAGGACAGGGTGCCGTCCACGCTCAGCGAGCTCTGTGTCGGGGCCTCCAGGGGAGGAAGGAAGAACTCACAGGCAGGAGTCAGGACTGTCTCCCAGAAGGGGGGTCTGAAGGGAGCCAGGAAAGATGCGGAGGATTCGCACAGGGGCAGCCCAGAGGGAGGCCGGGGCACGGGCCCCAGGAGGGACCCAGTCGGGGAGATGCGTGCTCACTCCACGAGCACTGGCTCCCCCGCCCAGAGACAGCCCAGCCCCTCAGGCAGTCAGCAAGAGGCACCTGATGGCCCCGTGGGCTGCCAGAAACTCGCCAAAGGTGCCTTAGAGTCCACCCGCCAGGAGCCCCTGTCCTCCGGCCAGCACCTGCCTGGCTCGTGGACAACCTGGTGGTTCAACTACAGTGCACGGTGAACGCTGACCAAAAAGCCGGTGACATTTACAGAGATTACTGCAGGAATCCTCTCCATGTGCTCTCTCTTTCTGGGTCTCCCAACATGGGTCTCCACAGCAGCCCACGGGACCAGGACAAGCCCAGCCCAGAAAGGTGCTAAGCAGGTGCGTGGTCACCGCGCCTGAGGACACGTGCTGGCCGCCATCCAATAATCCAGCCCGGGGCTTACTGCGCACTTCCCGAAAGCCAGGGCATTTGTGACAAATGCCTTCGCAGGGGTCAGCAAAGAGGAAGGGACCCGGGATTCCCTCTGCCGGCTGCAGCAGGGCGAGGGAGCCGCTGGTGGACGTCCTGATGCTTCACCACTTCAAAGGGGCACCTAGTAGTAGCGTCACAGCCCCCTCCCCCCTTGTAAGATTTATTTAGATTTATTTATTTGGGAGTCAGAGTTACACAGAGAGGAGAGACAGACAGAGAAAGAAGAGAGAGAGATCTTCCATCTGCTGGTTCTCTCCCCAAATGGCCGCAACGGCTGGAGCTGGGTCGACTGGAAGCCAGGAGCCAGGAGCTGCTTCCAGGGCCCCCACGAGGGTGCAGGGGCCCAAGCACTTGGGTCATCTTCTACTGCTTTCCCAGGCCACAGCAGAGAGCTGGATCAGAAGTGGAGCAGCCGGGACTCGAACCGGTGCCCACATGGGATGCTGGCACCGCAGGCAGCAGCTTTACCAGTTAACAGTCAGCCCCAGCACCTCCGGAACGCAGGGGGCTGCGGACAGCGCCCACAGCGTTTCCACGCTGACCCAAGAATCCGGCGGGGGGACAACCGCCTCCCCCAGTTCCGGAACGCGGCGCCCGCAGCTGTAGTTACCGCGGTCTGATGTCGCCATCGACCGTGCATGCTGACAATTTTTAACAACTGTTAACTCTGGTGACATCTGTTGAGAGTGCAACTGCGAGCGTAAAAACCAAACACAAAGTCAGGCAAGCGGTCAGTGTCCTCAGCTGAAGCGGCGCGGCGCGGGGCCTGGGACAGGGCGCACCGACTCCAGGTCCCCGCGCCGCGCAGAAGGGCAGAGCGCGCCCCTGGGGAGCAGCGGGGTACACCGGCGTACACCGGCGTCTTCCCTCGCATCGCAGAGTTCCGAGCGCCTCGGAGCTGGGCTGCGCGCGCCGCGGAGGGCACGGGGCACTCGGGCTTCCCGGGCAGGGAAGAGAGGGACGTCGTGGACGCTCCGCTCCGGCCAGCCGGGGAGTGTGCGCCCTCCGCGCCCGCCCGGCCGCCGGCCCCAGGATGCGCCCCTGGCCGCCCGCCCCCAGCCTGAGCCCCTGGCCGCCGGCCCCAGGACGCGCCCCTGTCAGCCCGTCCCCAGCCCGAGCCCCTGGCCGCCGGTCCCTAGCCCGAGCCCCTGGCCACCCGCCCCCAGCCTAAGCCCCTGGCCGCCGGTCCCCAGGATGCGCCCCTGTCCGCCGGACCCCAGGATGCGCCCCTGGCTGCCCGCCCCAGCCCGAGCCCCTGGCCACCCGCCCCCAGCCCGAGCCCCTGGCCTCCGGACCCCAGGATGCACCCCTGTCCGCCGGACCCCAGGATGCGCCCCTGGCTGCCCGCCCCAGCCCGAGCCCCTGGCCGCCGGTCCCTAGCCCGAGCCCCTGGCCACCCGTCCCCAGCCTGAGCCCCTGGCCGCCGGTCCCCAGGATGCGCCCCTGACCGCACGTCCCCAGTCTGAGCCCCCGGCCGGTCAGCCGGCGAGGGTGCGCCCTCCACCCCTGGCCGCCCGCCCCCAGCCCGAGCCCCTGTCCGCCGGACCCCAGCCCGAGCCCCTGTCCGCCGGACCCCAGCCTGAGCCCCTGGCCGCCGGTCCCCAGCCTGCGCCCCTGGCCGCCCGTCCCCCATCCCGAGCCCTTCCGCGCCCCCTGCCCGGGAGCGTGTGCCCCGGTGCTCCGCCACTTTGTTCTCCGCTCCCGGCGCCGGGCCGCGGCTGTGCGCAGGCGCGGGGGCGGGGCCCCGCACCGCCCCCCGCCGCCCCGGCCCGCTCCATCCGGGCACTGCCGAATTAGCATCGTGCCGAGGCACAACTTCGCCGAGGCCCAGGGAGATCCAGGCGCGCGCCGGAGGAAATATAGTCCCTGCCGGCGGGCGGCTCGCGCGGGCGCGCGCGGGGTTGCGCGGGGCTCCCCGCACCGGGGGCGGGGGCCATGCGCCGGGCCGCGCCGGCAGTCCGGGGACCCGGCGCAACTTGCCGGGCCGCCTGAGGAGTTGGGGCGGCCGCGGGCTCGGCGCTCGGCCGCCTTTCTTCCCCCTCGCCAGCCCCCGTCCCTTTCGGCCGTGGGGGAGGGGGCTCGTGTCCCGTGCCTTCGCCCCTGCCCCCGCGGAGGCCGGGCGCACCCCCGCCCGGTCCGCACAACTTCCCGGGAGCCGGCGCCAAAGTCTGCGCAAAGTGGTGCCTAAGTTGGCGGGATGGAGCTGCAGAGCCGGCCCGAGGCGCTCGCCGTGGAGCTCGCGCGCCGCCAGGTAGCGGGCCGGGGACCCCGGCCGGGGGCGGGCGAGTGGTGCACGGGGTGGGGGGCGCGGCCGAGCCCGGCCGCCTCCGAGTCCCCGACAGGGGCGCGGGCGGGAGGCGGAGGGACGTGCGCACCTGCGGGGAGCCCCCGCCTCCGGCCCCCTCCCGTGCGGTCCGGCACGCACTGGGAGGTCGAGGGCGCGGGGGCAGTTTCTCTCCGTGAGCCACGCAGGGTCCCAAGTCCGGGGGTGCCGGGAGGGGGCCCCTCCGGCAGCCCGCCCCTGAGCCGGGGGCTGCGTGCACAGGCCCCGCACGCCCCCGTGCCACCCCGCACTGTTTGCCAAAGTAGTTTTGGCGATCGCTGCTCCGGCGAGCGGCGGCGGCGGCGGCACCGCGGCGTGCGCGCGTGTGTGTCGGGGAGATTAGGACGCGACTTGAATATTTATGAGCTTTGCTCTACACGGACTCGCCGTGTTTACTTGGCTCTTTGTTCCTCCCCCCTCCCCCGGCACACACGCACGCCCGCACTCCCTCGCACGCGCACCCCGGCCTGCAAACTTGCGCGGCTCGGGGCGCGCCGCCGGGTGGCCTGGGCCCCCGCCCCGCCCGCGAGCTGTCCCGATGCGGCGGCAGCCACAGGTAAGCGGCCCCGCGCGGCGCTGCCCCGCCGCCGCCGCGCGTGCGGGACGCGCCCGGGAAACTTGGGGCGCGCGCCGGACCCGGGCGCCGGCCTGAGCCCGCTGCTTGGTGTCTCCGCAGAACGGCGACCTCAGGAAGCAGCTCCAGGAGAGGCCGGCGCGGGTCGCGGCGCTCGGCGACAAGCAAGTGAGCGCGGGGCCCCCGCCGGGCGTGGGGGCAGGGAGGGCCCCGGGCACTTCGGCGGCGCCCCCGGGGAAGTGCGGGCCCGGGCTTCGCGCGCTCGGGTCCCACGGGGGCTTCTCCGTGTCCCAAAGTTAGGGCGCCCGCGCCGGGGAGCCGGCGCTGGTCCTGGAGGCGCCGGGTGGGCTCTGGCCGGGGCGGGGGAGGGAAGGCGCGCTCGGAAGGCGAGCCGCCGGCGTCCATTTTGAGAGGTGGCCGTGTTTTGGGGGACGTGCAGGCTCCTCCCGGCCCCATCGCCTCCGCCTCGCCGCCCGGAGGGCGCGCGCGGGGGGTGGGGGCGCCAGGCGGGCCCGGACGCGCAACTCCGTGGAAGCAGTTCCTGGGGTGCCGTGGCCCGCGCCCCGGGCTCGCAGCCCCCTCGCTGCACTTCGCCGGCTTCACTTTGGATTCTTGGAACCTGACGCCGGCTCCGGGGAACAAAAGAAAGGCGCCCCCGGGACCCCCGGTTCTGCCCCCGCCCGGGTCTCCAGGCGCCTCTCGGGCGCGGGGCACCCCGGCGGCTGCCCGCGGCGTGGCGTGGCGCGGTCGCCGGCCCCCTCGGGGGCAAAAAGTTGTCCATTGTGACTTGGCTGCGCGCAGCTCGGCGCCCGGCCTTCAGCACCACGAACAGACGCCGGCGCGCGCCCCCTCGCCCCCGCCCCGCGCGCCCCCGCCCCTCCCCTCCGCGCCCCGCCCCGCGCCGCCCCAGCCGAGAACTTTGAGCGGCTCGGCCAATCCGCGCTCGGCACTGCGGCGCAGGCGGGGCTGGGGGCGCGACGCCCCGCCCCTCTGCCCCGCCGCCCCCACCCGCGCCCCCCGGCCATCGATCGCGCTTCCTCCGGAATGCGGCGGCCGCGGGAGCCAAACTTGGGTCCCGGCGGGGCCGGGAGCGGGGAGGCGAGGCCGGGGTGGGCGGGGGGAGCGCGCCGGGACCGCGTCCTGGGAGTCTTTAAAGTTGGGCAGGGGCGGGGGGCGCTGGAGAAGCTGGCAGTGCGGGCCCTGGCTCGGCCGGGCCGGCCGGGCGGAGAGCCCCCTCCCCGCCCCCCAGCCCCGCTGCACGCCCCCGCCCGGGCCTGGACGCTTCCATTCCCGGCGGAGGGGGCGGCCTGGCATTTCCATTTTGATGGCTCAGATGCCATTTTTGGAGGGGGAGGGGAGGGGTGGGGAGCCCCTCCTCTGGGAGCACAAAGCTGTTTGCTGTGCGCTCGGCGTCGGGTCGGGCGCTCGGCGCTCGGCTGCGGCCGCCGAGGGTCTTCTTCGCGCCCCTCGGCGGCGGCTGAGACCCCGAGCGGGCGTAGGAAGGGCCGGAGTCGCCGCGCCGGCCCCAGCAGTGTGTATTTGCGTGGCCGGAGCTCGCCGCGGGAGCGGCTCCTCGGGGCCGGCGCGGCGTGGCGCGGCGTGGCGCGGCGTGGCTGCTGTTCGCTGCGCTGGGGACTGGAGCGCGCCGAGGGAACGCGGTGCGAGGTCGCGGTGCGCGGCTCTGGGGCCCGAGCGCTTCGCCTTGAAATGTCGACGCGGGCCAGGATGCTCGCCCAGGGTCTCCATCTTTTTGTGTGTGTTAAAAAAAAAAAAAAAAAAAGACGAAAACTTTTATTCTCTGGCCTTGGAGACCCTGCTCCTGCGTTTAGCGGCGCGCGGGAGCAGCCGGGGTTTCCGGCCGGGCCGTGGGAACTCGTGTCTGCGGACAGCCAGCCTGTGCCTGCTTCGGCTTCCTTTGTGGCATTTTGTGAGAAGGGGGAGGGGAGGGCCCGGCCGTGGCTCCGCATGCTAATCAGGCTGCCTAGCCTCTCCCTGGCTGCAGATCTCGCCCTGGGGGCCAGGCGTCTCGCCCTCCAGTGGGCAGCCTGGCCGGGCCGAAACTGGACCTGCTCTGTTGCGCAGGCGGGGGCCTAGCTAGCTGGAGCCGGATTGGGGGGGTGGGGGTGAGAAGGCAGGTATGTGAGACTCCAGCTTGGGTTGAAGGGGGGTTTCCCGGCAGGTGGTGGGTGTCTGTGTGCTTGCTGCCCTGGCTGGGAGTGTCAGACGCCCAGGTGAAGTTTTTATGAACAGTGTACAAGTGGGTGCTGCACTAGATGGCGACACGGGTGATCAGGACTGGGAGAGTGGACAGCAGCCACCAGGTGTCCACTCACGCCTTCGCTGTGGACAAGCGTGGGAAGGCCATTCAAGGACTCTGACTCGGGGAGGGTGAGCAGCTGGCTGGCCACAAGTAGATGCATATGAATTCTCTGGAACCATCTGGGTTTTCCTGGGGATTAGAGGGTAAACGGGAAATGAGCTTCCACGGGACCTTGGTGTTTGAAAACAGAGCTCCTGTGTTTTCCTTAAAAAAAAAAAAAAAATCCCAGGGTCGTGGTAGGGTGTGGTCAGAGCCCAGCGTGGCCTGGTGGCCTGGTGGCCTGGCGGAGCCGGTGTGGGGAGGCTGCTGCTCGCTGCTGGCCCTGGTTCCGGGGAGGGCTGGAACCGGGTCCCACGTGTGAAGACTGCTCGGCGTCCCACATGTCAGCTGCTCCCGCGGTTTCACACCAGGAACTGGAGCCAAGTTTGCATCTCATTTGTCAAAAGCAGGCACCTCGCAGGACAGGACAGGCCCCTGAGAGCCGGGAGGGCCCCTTCCGCGTCCTCGCTGGGCACCCAGCGGGTGCGCATGCGGCCGGGTGCGGGGGCGTCTCCAGACCCTGTGCTCCATCAGCTTTAACGGAGGCTGGAGGAGCCTGCCGGCGGGACTCAGCCCCCCGAGAGTGAACCGGGGCCTTGTGCGTGGCCCGATCCGTCGCTCTGATGGACTCGCGTTCCAAGGGGCTGTCCTCAGGTGCAGCAATAAAATCCATGTTCTTGAAAGGGTGGCGCGCGTGGCCTCCCTGGGCGCAGGCCCATCTCCAGCATGATTCCATGGCTCCGGGAACGCGGGTGCGGCTGGGGGCGGGGTGCCTCCCGTGCCCTCCTCGGAGAGGGTTTCCGTGTGCTCTGAGCGGATGTGCAGATGTGAATCTTCCCAGCCCAACCTAACTGCTGGGTCTCAGTTCTTTTTTTTTTTTTTTTAAGATTTTTTAAATTTATCTGAGAGGTAGAGTTACAGACAGGGAGAGACAGAGAAGTCTTCCATCCACTGGTTCAATCCCCAGATGGCCACAATGGCTGCAGTTGGGCCCCTCTGAAGCCAGGAGCCAGGAGCTTCCTCCAGGTCTCCCACGTGGGTGCAGGAGACCCAGCACTTGGGCCGTCTTCCACTGCTTTCCCAGGCCACAACAGAGAGCTGAATCAGAAGTGGAGCAGCCGGGACTTGAACCAGTGCCCACGTGGGATGCCGGCACTGCAGGTGGAGACTTAACCTTCTGTTCCATAGTGCTGGCCCCTGTTCAGTTGGTTTGAGAAGAAAGCGTCTGTCCATTTGTACACCTTTATCTCTAGATGCCTCTATCAGCTACATTTTTATTTCGCTGATTTTGTTGACTATAATGATAAACAGTGTAACCTCACTGAGTTGTGCTGAGCCTGGTAATCGTGCGTTAGAACATCAGCCCATAACTTGTCCAGGGTTATGTGACTGAAAGGAGAGGAAGGGTTTGTTCCTGAAGTCGGGAGAAGGTTTACGGTTCTGCAGGGCGTTGCCGGAGAGGCGGCCATTGGCTTCCTGTTACTTCTGTGCCGCGGAGCAGATGAGGACGACTTGCTTCCCAGAAAGCCGTTTGTTGAGGAGCAGCACGGGCTGTGGGAGAATCCCAGCGTGGACTGGAGTTTGTTGAGGAGCAGCACGGGCTGTGGGAGAATCCCAGCGTGGACTGGAGTTTGTTGAGGAGTAGCACGGGCTGTGGGAGAATCCCAGCGTGGACTGGAGTTTGTTGAGGAGCAGCACGGGCTGCGGGAGAATCCCAGCGTGGACTGGAGTTTGTTGAGGAGTAGCACGGGCTGTGGGAGAATCCCAGCGTGGACTGGAGTTTGTTGAGGAGTAGCACGGGCTGCGGGAGAATCACAGCGTGGATTGGAGTTTGTTGAGAGCAGCACGGGATGCGGGAGAATCCCAGCGTGGACTGGAGTTTGTTGAGGAGTAGCACGGGCTGCGGGAGAATCACAGCGTGGATTGGAGTTTGTTGAGGAGCAGCACGGGATGCGGGAGAATCCCAGCGTGGACTGGAGTTTGTTGAGAGCAGCACGGGCTGTGGGAGAATCCCAGCGTGGACTGGAGTTTGTTGAGAGCAGCACGGGCTGTGGGAGAATCCCAGCGTGGCCTGGAGTTTGTTGAGGAGCAGCACGGGCTGCGGGAGAATCCCAGCGTGGACTGGAGTTTGTTGAGAGCAGCACGGGCTGTGGGAGAATCACAGCGTGGACTGGAGTTTGTTGAGGAGCAGCACGGGCTGCGGGAGAATCCCAGCGTGGGTTTGAGGTGGTAGAGTTTGGTCCCCCCCTGCTGGCCCTGCTCTGTCCTGGGGGCGGGAGCCGCCGAGCCAGCTGTGAGGCGTGTTCATCAGGCGTGTCCTGCACACGCACACGTGTGTGATTGGGTAGGCACCTCTGTGCTGTACACGTGGATGCACCAAACAGTGCTTGCCTTGGGCAGCTGACACGGCGTGTGGGCATCTCCCGGGGCAGCTCGGGCGGATTCCACACACGGGCCAGGGCTCCCTTGTGCCAGTCTGTGGGTAGAGGGAGCTCCCCGGGGAGGGTCTCTGCCGTGAGCGTTTGCCCGTGTAGCTGGGCAGGCAGATGTGGCCCCGGTGTTTTGTATGAGAGGAAGCTCGGCCTGCAGGAGAGACCGGGCGCTTCTGTGGGAGCTCCTGTGGGAGGCGTGAGGGCGCTCCACGGAGGTGGCTTTTGCGCCAGGGCGGAAGTGTGCAGGCTCGTCCCCTCAGCCGTGTGCGCTCCTCCTCGGTGGGCGTGTTTTCCTTCGATGGTCAGGATAATCCCGTGACTTGGGTCGGGATGGGTGGGTGAGTCCTGTCTCTGCACAGGTCAGACAGGTGAGGATGGCCAAGAGGGCGCCTGCCCCTGCCTCGGGCACCGTCTGTTTCCATCTCCACCTCATCTCCAGCCGGCTTCCCGTCCGGCAGGGTGGCTGTAGCCCTGGGGAGCAGAGGCCCCCAAGTCAGCACACTGGGCAAGCCGGCCTGCCTACGGAGTCGGCACACTGGGCAAGCCGGCCTGCCTACCGAGTCGGCACACTGGGCAAGCCGGCCTGCCTACCGAGTCGGCACACTGGGCAAGCCGGCCTGCCTACGGAGTCGGCACACTGGGCAAGCCGGCCTGCCTACCGAGTCGGCACACTGGGCAAGCCGGTCTGCCTACCAAGTCGGCACACTGGGCAAGCCGGTCTGCCTACCAAGTCGGCACACTGGGCAAGCTGGTCTGCTCCCTGGAGCCCCCCTGCCTCCCTGTGATGTGGGCCGGTGGAGGGAGCCACGACAGGTGGCTGCGATGAAGCCAGAGTGTGGACAGGGGAGAGCGTCTGAGTTGGAAAGCGAAGGGCAGCTGGGACCTCGCTGGCCCCTTCTGGGGCTGTGTGTTCCACAGGAGGGCACCTGTGTGCCCGGCAGTGTCTGAGCCCTCGTCAGCCTTCTGCCTCTGCGCGCACCTGCTGTTGGGACTGCCCGGCCGAGTTCAACTAACCTTGCCGCTG